AGCTTGCAAAGGCCAAAGGACACCAAAAATCTGGCTGAAATAATAATGTAACCAAGTGTTTCTGTGCAGAGAACTTCCTCATCTATTCAGTTGCACTGTATTTAATTCCCCTGGAACACTTGTCTGAACCCCCACCCCCAAGATGCTAAACTTGCACTGTTGACTATTAGTCCCAAATGTCTGATTTAATTCAGGAATGATTTTTATGTTTCTGGTAACAAAAATGTCTAAAATCAAAGGTGGTATATGTCCTGCTTTCAGGGGAGTATTTAACCAGCTTTGTGTTAAGCAGCCAACACTTGCATTTCTGGCTAAGTTCTTGGAGGCTGGATGAATCGCTGTTTAGTGGAAGTATGAGAAGGGAGGAGGAATAAGTACACCCCCTTTGGACAAAGGGAAAGTGGAGGTCTAATTCTCAACTTCATTTCCATCACAGTGATGACGACTTGATCCCTTATGACATGTCTGCTGATAAGGAACTGAAGAAGACAAAAGCTCCTTTGTATATCCGAGACTGTATAGAAGGTAGGAGATTCTAGATAGTCTATTGAACCTTTTGGAGTTTATGCCTGGTTGTTAGATTGTTTTGAGGTGGGGCTCCTTTTGCAGGCTGGTTTTCATGAGCAGACTCAAAGAAGTTAAGAAACATAAGAACACCACCCATTTACTGAGTCAAATCATGGGTTCATCTAGCCCAGTAGTTTCTTACATGGTGGCAGTGTGTGGATGCTGATTGGGAGGGTGAACAGGGCATGTCCAGAACCTTCTTGCCCCTACTTCTTTCCCACTGTAGCTTCCAGCCATTGGAGGTTTAAGAGGTACAAATTTTAAGCAGTATCCCTGTCTGCTGTGTTCAGTACCTGCTGATGGGCCTTTCCACCAAAAATTTGTCCAACTCCCTCTTGAACTGGTTTAAGCTGTAGACCTCCACAATATTTGGTAGCAAAGAGTTCCATAGTTAGATGCCATGTGAACAAGAAATGTCTCGAGTTAGTTTTAAATTGACTTCCTAATAGTTTTTTATGTCCCCTAGTTCTACTATTTTACGAGACAGTTAATAATAAAACTGTTTACTTTCTCTGAACCACTTAATATTTTGTAAACCTCTGTCAAGTCTCCCCTTCAAGAGTCTCTTTCTACACTGAAAAGTCCTACCCTATTTAGTCTCTTCTCTTATGGCAGCCACTGCATACACCTGGTCACCCTTGTTGCCCTTCTCTGTACCTTTTCTAGTTCTTTTATATTCTTGTTGAGGTGTGGGGACCAAAACTGCATGCAGTATTCAAGGTGTGGACACGCCATAGATTTATTTATAAAATGGGCATAATAATACTTGATTAACTCCCAACATTTTTCTTTGCCCTTTTGAGTGCTGCTGATCACTGAACTGATGTTTTTTAACAAGGTATCCACAGTGATTCTAAGATTGCTGTTACCACACAGGAAAGCAAAGGTAGAGTCCATTCTTGTGTAGTTTTGGGTTATTTTTCCCCTCCCCCTCTCCCTGCCCCTCAGTTAGGTCAAGTCAAGTGACCACGCTCTCTCCTGGTTTTCTTCTTGGTTCAGGTTGGTCAGTTAGGTGACCTGGCCAGATAAAATTCCTAGGGGGAGAGGGAGAGCTTGATCTTCTTTCCTGTGGGCATTTTGAAAGTGGCAAGCAAATGCCTAGGCTTCTGCCTGGAGATTTACTGCAAGTAAAAACCTGGAAACTAGCCAGGAGGTAGGACATATGTGTAGGCCAGTCATGTCTTAAACAGACCACTGTGCCCAATTTCTGTACAGACTCGTTTGCTGAAAGTGTATTCTGACTTCCTCGTACTACCCCTCTTCACATCCCCATCAATAAAGGTGTCGAGTTACAGCTTGCCTTGCTGTGTTACTGGGGAGGAAGGAGAGAAGGCTTCCACTCCTTTGCTTGGCCAGCAGAGGTTGTCTGTTTTTGTTTGTTTGTTTGTTTGTTTGTTTTTAATTTTATTTTCCATCAGTTCTACCTGATGCTATCTTGGGAAGCTTCAGGCTCAAAGAAGCACCCAGAAATATTACTGTGGGCAAAGCACCCCTAAGGTTTGCAGGGTCTGTGCGCCCCAGGCTCCAGAGAGCCCTACCAGAGACAACTGCCCATGTGGTGGCAGCGTTACCCCAGGCTTGCGGATGTTCTCCAGGAAGCGCAACAGCCAGCTATAGGTTCTCCAAGGGAGACTCCCAAAGTGTGGTTTTGAGCCTGGCACAGTGAGCGGGGTGGCTCTGCATAATAGTGCCCCCAACTGTGCACACCACAAATTTCATCTGCCATCTTGTTGCCCATTCACTCAGCTTTGCAAGCTGCAGTACTGAAGAACTTTGGGCTTAGGCTTTAAACTGTATAAGTTCCTGCATAACCCTGGCTTAGTTCCTAGTGCTTAGCTTGCTGCTGGTTCTTTCTATTGGAAGAGGAGAACAGTTAGAACAAGGAGAGTGCTGTGACTTTGTGATCCAGCAGGTCAGGCATACTGAATTCTCAGGTTTGGTGTCAGTGACATCTTTCTCCTAGGGAACAGAGAGAAAGGGAGGAATTAAGATTCTTGAAACAGAAGGTTTCAGGTAGTCGGCAAAGCTAAGTGATTTGTTTTTGTCACCTCTAGTCCTGACTGGACCTGAAGATGCAGACAAATGGGAGGCCACGATGAGGGTTCTGGAGACCTTGATTCAAAGGAATACAGCTGCTACACAAGAGGTAAAACCACATGGGCTGCGAATTGCCACGGGCTAAACTACATGGGCTAAGACTGTGTTCACAGTGCTGCATCTCTCCCTTTGGAAGCTAGCCATAACCCAGCTCACTGAAAAAGTGACTGATCAGGCTGAGTTGGCCTTTTTAGAACTTGTGTCCAGGAATTGCCTCTAAGTACAGAGATGATGCAGAGCAAGAGAAAGACCTGGATCAATAGCAGCAAAGCAGCTGGCTCTTTTTTTCTCTCAGTTTGGGTTCCTCTCATTTTTGGTTTGTCTCACAGTTGGAATGGAGAAAGTGGGCAGGCAGTGTCTCCAGATAGCTCCTAGCTGGGTAAGGCATTTGAAATTACCTGCCTTGCTCTAGGTTGAGGTGCCTGTAAGGTAACCATAAAGCTAAAGTAAGTGCATCTCCAAGGATCAGAAGACAAAATGTGTGTACCCAGTGCTCCCTCAGACTTACTCTTTCTCCTCTGACTCTACAAGTGCTGGTCCCTTGTCCAGGGTGTCTGGGTGAGACTGTTCAGGTTGCAGACCCTGTTTAGGAAGAGAAAATAAGGGGCACTGATGTGAGGTCTTCAGTGGGAACTGAACACAGGAGTTTCAGTGCCAAAAGCATAAGCCTTTACCTACTGAGCCAGAAGCATAACACCATTAACTAGGAACAGTTTTAGTTTTTTATCCTCTTGTCAGCCAGCTATTAGGTAGCATGTATTGTCCACTCAATTCATGGGTTACAGTCTTCACTGAGATCCTTCTGAAAGCCGTATTGGAAAAAATCTAATTTGAGAAGTAAACCCAAGGATTTATTGTTGCTTCAAGCAGTCCTGTCTTAATGATAGCCTTGTTTGTCCTGCCCTTTGCTGCATATAATAGGCTGAAGTCTGATTCTCTGGCCCTGCATTTCCTCTTGTATCTCTATGATAAGAGAAGTAGCCAAGATGGAGAGCATTGATCTGGATAGCAATTTGTGAGCCCTCTGAGGGGAGAGCCAGCAGCCCAGCAGATGGACCTCTCCCTTCTTGTGCTTTGTGCAGGTGAGTGTGGAGCTGGCAAAAGTGCTGCTGCACCTGGAGGAGAAGACCTACATTGATGACTTTGTGGAACTCCGTCAGAAAGCCCTAGTGGCTGTCACCACCACAGATCCAGTACCAGTGAGTCCCTGTGCTGCTGCTTCCCTCCATGATAAGTATAGGCTTAAGGACTTGAGTGGTAGCCTTTTGGTAGGAAGGAGGCTGAGTTTATGCAGCAAGCTCCTGCTCGTCGTGCCCCCCCCCTTCCACACCCACACACACGCACTTAGTTGGACCATGACCTGGAGCATCTGCCAAGGCACGATGGGGGGGAAATTCCAATAGAGAAACTCCAGGCCAAAGCTGTGGAGGATACAAAGTGATTGTACAGAGCAAGGGTCAGCAGCTTATGACTTACAAGCCAGATCTGACCTATGAAAAGGTCTGATATCCCACAAGGGATTGGTGGCACAGAGATGTGATGTGTCACTCATCCACCCCACAGTGGACTGCAAAGTATTTTGAGACCCTTGCCTGGGGAATGGCAAAGTCCTGTTGTTTCTTTAGTCTCCTTTGGAAGGGTCTGGAGGTAGGAACCCCTGAACTTCTTCTGCACTGGTGATGCCAGCTTCCCTGTTTCTGGAGCGTCCTGATTTGTTACTAGCAGGATTTCTCTTCTGTGGAGTGGAGTATGGGTAGAGCCATTGGGGGAAGGTTTCTCCCAGGTTCTGGTTCATGCTGCTGTTCCCTGGCTCTGCAGGTGGCACAGTATCTGACCTCCCAGTTCTACTCCCTGAACTACAGCCTCCGCCAGCGCATGGACATTCTGGATGTAAGTGGCACATGTCTCTTCCTTTTTTGTTCTCAAGAGACCTACACTCTTGTGCAACTGCCTGTTGTACCAAAACCCTGTATCCATAAGCAGGGGTAATTTCTAATTTTAAGAGACTGGGTTGAGCGAGGTTCGAGCAGAAAGTGGGGAATGGCCATCACTTTCAACTCTTAGCACTGCTGTACGTTATTCTTTATGGTACGTGGTGGACTAGCAAGAGGCATAATGCAGAGCATGGGGGCAGTGACTTGTCTGTGGTTGATGGGGAGTCTCCTACAATTCCTAAGGCAAGTTTACTCTGTCTATTTAACTTCTTAAGAAGCAAGTCCTTCCCACAGGCTGCCACAACATGAGACTAACTACTTAGGAAAGAAACCATTGTCTTGTTTCAAGGGGGAATGCCTCAGCTAAATGCTCCCTGATGCCTTCATATAATAGGCCATTGATCACATTGAATGTGTAAGGTCAGTTATTTCACCCCAATATTCTTGGTTCTTATGTGCCCATGCCATCCCCTCAGAAGCTCAGGTACAGGTGACTGTCACTCTCAATTCCTTCTTAAGAGGGGTCAAAAAAAAGAAGCTTTGTTCTGTGTACCTAGGTTCTGGCCTTGGCAGCTCAGGAGCTCTCTCGACCCAAAGCTCCTGGTAAAAACAAACTCTCCAGCGTCCAGACTCCCTACATCCAGATCCTCCCCGGAAGTGACAGCTCCAAAGACTGGAGAAGGATTGTGGATGAGAGGATCAGAAGTAAGACCCGGAGATTTGCAAAGGTGAGGCCAGGTTACTTGACAGTGGAAATGTAGTAATGTCTCATGCCATTACAGCTACAAAAGGGGAATCTAGGAACTGTCACAAACCTATCTAAACAAGGGTAGAATATCTAAGAACTTGGGTCCAGTGTAGTGTCAGTAAATGTGGTGTAACTTCATTATGTGGGACCTGAATCTGTGGAAACAATCTGTCCATGTTGGGAAAGCACTGTATCTTGAAGTCTCTGTCCTGCACTGTTTCATTCTGCAGTTTCTGCTCTCAGATTTGTCCTCTGCCTTTGCATCCCAACTCCCCTTCCTCTAATCCTGTACTAGCATCCCGCTGCCTTTATTCTGTATCTGTTAGCCCTAAATTCCCACTTATGCCTCGCATGGAAAGAAGTAAAGTAATTGTCTAGTCCCCTGCAAGACTGCACTAAATCTCATGTTGGGAGGTGCTTTCCTTTATTTCTGGCCCCACTGTCCTTTGTGTGCTGATTTTCCTTGCCTCCTATTTCCCTCCCCATATCATACGACTGGGTACACACTGTGTCCATAGAGGAAAGAAGTGTTCTAAAATGGACAGCTGACTCTGGAGAATTAGAATATGGGGTAGGTAGGCTGTTGGCCCATTGTAGGTCTGTCAGCTAGACATGAATCTGGGGGTTGGTGAGTAATGGAGATGTGTTGGGAGGGCGAGTGATGTTTCAGTGACAAAAAATGCTGTTGTGATCCTTTCCCATCCCTGCCAGCAGCGGACAAGTAGGACAACAAAGGCCATTACTTCTCTGGCTGTATTTTCCCTTTCAATTTTTTTTTTTCTTTTGGGCAGGGCCAGTCTCAAGTGGAGCTTGTTTGTGCCCCAAATAAATTCAGTTCTGTGGCTGGGCACTTCTTCTTCCCCCTGATTCAGAATTTTGACAGGTAAGTGTGTGAGCTCCTTGTGACCCAGGTATTTCCATAAAATGACAGTGAAACATGGCTGTGAGAACAAAGAAAAAGCATCACCTTGTTATTTTTATTGAATAAACTGAGGCAGAGAGGTTTGATGACAGTCCCATGGCCTCACAGGCCATCGGTGCCTGACTCGGGCATAGAATTCTGGAGAGCTGTGTCCTCACTCCCTGCTCTCGCCCTTGGATTACATCAAGCTTTTTCTTCTTGCAAGATCTTGGAAATTAGTAGCTCTGGGCCTCTCCAACCTATTTTCTTACTCATAGATTGATAGAGGGAAAACAACCTTTTCCACACCAGCATCTTTGATTTTTATCCACCTGGTCTGAGGAGGTTTGTAGCCAGGCCTTATACATGGTGTGTGTGGAGGACCAGCACCAGGACACTCTGAAAGCACAACAGAAATAAACTGATGAAGGCCAATTTAAGGCCAAATCTCACCTGGGTTGAAAAATAAAAAGCAGGTGAGCGGGGAAGAGGTGAATTAGAGATAAAAGACTTGGTGTGAGAAAAGGAGCAGGTAACATACACAAGTAACATATTGCACAGCTTTGCTTTTATGATGAGGCAGTGCTCCTAATGCTTAGGAGATATTAAGTGCCAGCTTCTGACAGGTACTGATTTGCTGTGTGGCCTAGGCTAACTCATTTAGCCTCCATGTGCTTTTAGATTCCCTCTCTGTAAAACAAATTAGCATCTTTACCAGGGCTGTCTGACTTCTGAAACCCTGGGGCCCACATCAGGCTACACAGATGCTCCCCCCTGCCACTGTACTGTCTGCCCCTGCAGGCATCCTCTCCCCTCCTTCCAGGTGGCCAACCCCTTCCCCTGTCATTGCACTGCCCCCTCTCCACTACACCTGCACTACATGGCTGTAATCCACCTCCTTCCCCTCCATCATGCACACCCCTCCCTGCCGCTTGCCCTCAGCTTCCCACACAATGAACTGCAATGCCCC